CATGTATGTCAACATAATAAGGTTAGCACATTAGCACATTAGCATCAGATTACACGACTGAAGCTCAGCTCAATCTGTTGCCAGTTGATAAAGCTCTGACATAAAGAGGCTTGTGTGAGCGGTGCTAAAATAGCCCCTGTAAAGGAGATGAAATCCTCTGATTTAGGGACCTGAATTTAAGTTACAAATATTCATACCCTTAAAATGATCCAAAATCAAACTAGGAAAGTATTTTATATTCTAAGGAGTTCATGTTGTAGCTGTCTGAGTATTGCAAAGCCCTGTTATGGCAAAACTGTTCATTCTAGGTTGTTTCATTTTGTCTCTGCAGCTGTCTCTCCTGCTTTCCACCTCATTCTGTTTGTCTCCTTAATTAAGTGCACTCAGTAGTCGCAGTAGTTTAGATAAACGTGATTACTGCAGTAGTCAGATAAAAATGAATAATTCTTCTCCCACCTCTTCATCCTTTCTCGGTTAGTTCAACTCGTGATCTCCTCCCACCTACATTCTGGCTTCTCTTCAGCTGACAACTATTCCTAGTTTTGTGTCTCCATTTTCAGCTTGTTTTAATTATTTGTACTCATTCCTTTTAAAAAGAACAACAAACAAAAAACTCATTATTTGGGGGAAAAGTCAGCAAACATTGTAAACAGTTTCTATCAGGGCTGACTGGCGACTCTGTACATGCAGTAATTATGTCCTGGTGACACTGAAATTACATTATTTAATGTATACAATGTGTCAATATAACTGCATTTTAAGCCAGCGGGAGAGTTTCTTGCTTCTTTCTTGTAGATGGACTTTTGTAAGTATTGTGTTAAACAGAGAGACCCAAACTGCTTTTTCATTGAAGAAGAGAAACAGTGATGGAGGCCTGAGACAATCTTACCTTAGATGCTGGTCTGCGTAGGTCAACTCTGCCATGCAAATCTCCCCTGAACTTCATGTTTGTATGTAAATCGGAAGCTTAATTTCCTCATGGCTTCTTCCTGTGTCATTTGACTATGAAATGTAACACAGTAAGGGTAACAGTAGTGCCTGTGTCTCAGTTTACAATGCTGAGCATCGTGGTGCCTTGTGCTGAAGCAGTGTAAAGTATAAAATCCCTTTTTGAAGAGTGGCGCTCTTTTACTGCAAGTTCATAAATAAACATTGTTGCACAAATGCTGCGATCACATGATGACTTAAAAATAACACGGATCAGGGAGGAAGTTTGTGCTAGATCATCTCTTTTTTTTCCATTTATGATATTTCTGGGTTATATGAACATGTCATGGTCTTTTTTCTTTTAAATGCATATGCATCTTTAATGCAGCCTGGCTGTTTTTGTTGTTGTTTTATGGTGATATTTGATTTATTTGTAAATAAACGATAGCTTCATCTGTCTTTTCCACACCACTACCACTGTGTAAAGTTGGAGCAATACCTGATGTTTACAAATATTGCTTGTTTTGTTTGTGATCGTTAGATATCTCACTGTTTGTTCCAGTGAAGTAGAAAAATCTTTATTATTAACATTCATTTAAACCCTTTTCAGTCTTTCAGCAACCAGTTAATGAAACTAGATCTCAAAGATAAAAGATAATTATCATCTTACACTCACACATTACTTTGTTGGGTACACCTCATCTATTCAGCCTGTCCTTTTGACAGGCTGAAGCAGGACCTCCTTCTTTTTCCATACTTATAAGATTTTGAAAGTATTAACGTATGAATGGAAATATGTATTTTTGATCTGGAGATGGTGGCTGTGAGATCAGACCTCATGAACAGTTGTGATGATGTGTCCAACTGAAAACTTGTCTTTCACTTTATCAGGTTGTAATCTGATAATGTGGGTCGGAGATTTAAATAATCCACACCGGGCAGTTTACCTTTGATAAGCTCGCCAGCCCACGATGATGTCATCACGGAAAGATGATGTGCGATTAGGCTGAAAAGAGTTGGAGAGGACCGGAGGTAGTCAGCTTGGTGGATGTGTGTGGGTTGAGGTCAACAGGAGCTTATATGAATTCCTGTACGTGTATTTATTAGCAAAAAGTATTGCTTTAAAAAAATGCATGTTTTTACTAATACATACATTTACTGAAATACTCATTTTGAAATATCACGTTTCACACTGAACCAGTTAGTCACTATACCAGGCTGTTTGTACTGTAAATGATTTGGGAAACAAAAGTGTTATACAGCATATCCAAACCAAAAAGACTGAGTAACAAATTTACAGTCATGTTGAATTCATGTTTTCATCTCTCACATCCGTGTTTGTTTCAGCCAGCAGTCGTTTTCCTCTGATTACTGCCCTCTGCAGTTGTCAGCAGTGGTTGCATAAACAAAAAAGGCACAAATGCTGCAAACAAATGCACAGACTGCACAAACATGTCGGGTCTGCCAATCAAAGGATTTTTCCACACAGCAAGCTGTGGTTGATAAAAATCCTCAGGGTACCTTTAAGTTTAAAGCATAGTCTCCAAGAGCGCTGTTAAGTCACTGTCTTACAGTAATGTATTAATAAAAAGTCTGTGCCTGTGGTGGTGTTTCTGGAAAAATAAATGCAGTTTAATTTACTGTCCTCATGCTGCAGCTCCACAGTAAAAGCATTTAACTAGCTCAGTGCAAATTGGCATCCAGTGTTGTGGTCACAGATAATGTAATATGTTTATCTGCGCTGAGGACTTGCCAATATTATTCATGGAAAAAATGCATCTACGAAGAGGAAACGAGGAGCTAGTTTGTTTTCCTGCTTCCAGATTTCTCTGACCTGCAGTTTGAAACCCCATTTTCTAAATTTTCTAATATATTAGAACTTAAATATTCATAATTTCTTCTTTAATACACAAAAACATAATAAATAAGCTTTGTTTCTCTGTCTTATCCCTCTTTTTTCCTCCCTGTCTGCATGTTCTTGATTGGTTTTCCTTCCTGCTGTTATTCGTCTTCTGTCATTTACACTCATTCTCAGTCTGAATTATTGAAAATGGTCACAATACCTTTAAGCTCTTGTCCCCACCTAGAAATTTAACACCACTGATTTACAAAGCAGCAGCCACAGCAGCGGATATCCATAACACTGAAACAGATGCTTGCTCTTAAAGAATAACCCCAAGAGTTCCTGTATATAGCTGCGGTCATTAGTTTACATGCGCTTATCATGGTAATCCTGGGCTTTTAATGATTTCTTTGAACTCTTTTTTTTTTCCGAGGTGGAACGATTGTACGACACACATCTTTAATGACTTTGAAAAAGAAGGATTAGGTGCACATGTTGGGATTTATTTTTGATTTTCTGTTATCCACACAGGATCAAAAGTCCACCTCAAGGCTCAAATATATGCGTGCACTCACTAATGAGTAGTGCTGAAGGTTCTATAGTGTCCTGTAACTTACTAAGGCCTATTAACGTCTCATTAATGATCATAATTGACTACAGTTGGTAGTTTCTCTTTGTCAGCATAAAAAAGATTTGTTTGACAGCAATCACTGAATTCACTAATCCTCTGAAAGCTGGGAAAGCCCCCTCCCTGAGCCTGGTTCTGCCTGAGGTGTCTTCCTGTTAAAAGGGATTTTTTTCCTTCCCACTGTCTCCAAGGGCTTGCTCAAAGGTTGTCATTTGATTGTTGGTCTTTACCTTACAATATACAGTGCGTTGAGACCAATCTGCTATATAAATAAAACTTAATTGAATTGGAAATCAGTATTTTTCTGAAGGTCTAACGTGAGCTTTGAAGCACCATAGACTGAGAAAGTGCTTACCAAGAAAGAAGCTCCTGCTCCAAAATTAATACTTTTAAGCTCAACTGAGTTTGTGGACTAAAAGCGGGGTCCATTCAAGAAACCAATCACTTTAAGTGAACTATAACAATTCTGCCAAGAAGATCGGTCAAATGTGCAGCCAGAATTATGCCAGCAGCTTGTTGATGGCTACCAAAGGTGTTTGGTCGAGCTGCAACTTGCAAAGAGACATTTAAGCAAATATTAGTGGGTGTTTGAAGGTGTATGTATACTTTTGAACCTGTGTGGATTAGAGAAAATCCAAAATAAATTGTGCACCTCAAGTTCTGAAAACTCATTGTGATATTTGTTTGTTTTTTGTTTTGTAAACATTTTTAGGTTATTTTTTATTTAAGTTTTTTATTAAGTATTCTTTTCTCACAATCCCATATGCAGCTGCATGTGACTCCTTTATCTCTCTGGTTTAACTCTTGAAATCTACATTATAACCCTTAGAATTCATTAAAACTTAAACTCTCCAGATGACACTGTGTCGGCGAGCAGCAACATGGACATGGAGGACCGGGTGTCTCACCTGGAGCAGAGGCTGCAGTTACAAGAGGACGAGATCCAGCTGCTTAAGGCGGCTCTGGCTGATGCCCTGCGCCGGCTCGGCTATTGCGAGGAGCAGAGCCAAGGGAAGCAACTAGTAGGCGTTCATGCTGGGAGGAGATCTCTGGCCACTACAGCTGCAGCACCACCTACCAAGGGTAGGTAACATCAGTGCTTCTGTAAAGCTGAAATATGTTGCTGCTTTTCATATTCCAAGATAAATGTCATTGCTCGCCAATCAGGTGGTTTCAGATCCCAACTATATCTGTGCTGCAGTTCTTAACTTTTACTATGTTAGTATTTAGAAATGATATAAATACCTTAAATTGACTTAATCCTGCTGCTGCTAAACTATTCACAAAAAATACATGCTGATATAAAATCATACTTTCTTTTAATTTACGTTCGTCACAAGTCAGAATGGCCTGCCACCGCTAAAATGAAAGTTTTGTGTTGTCAGTTGAACAAGCTGAGCATGCAAATCACATTTGCTTATATGCCAAATATAGAAATCTTATGTTTCCCTTGATGACAGATTGAAGATTGATCTGGAGTGGTAAATTAAAAGTTTAACGGGGGTCTGGAACTGGGAAGCTGTACGCACTTTGTGCTCATGGCATTTTCTTCTCTTTCAGTGCGACAGCTCCTGCAGGCTCTTCCCTCCCGACCTCTGAGTAACGGCTACATTCAACAGAAACGTCTCCTTTCTTCGCCTTCATCTCCAAAGAAAGAGGTGCTACAGTCTATAAAGAGGTAGGATTAAGAATGGAAAGCAAAGATGCTGAACACAACATAACAAAACGTTTCATTTTTCGTTTGCAAGGGTGCCCTATTTTTTAATCCCCTATTCACGTTAATAAAAATGGACTGAAATTTGATGTATTCTTTAATTGACAGTTAAAGTTAATTTACTTTTATGTTAATTTACTTTTATGTAAAATAGCATCATCAAGTACACTTTACTTTCTCTTGTTTGATACTTTAAGTTTAATTGACTAGGCATTAACTTAGCAATCAACTGTTGTTTTTAATCCTCTTTTAACCCAATTGTAACTCCATGTAAAAAATGGTAATGTTACAGTTTGTTCATCAAAACATCAAGAGTTCTCCCTCCTCTTCCCTTCTTCAGAAAGAGTATGTCCACAGAGCGTCTCACCCTGGTGAGGAGAGAGATGGGGGCGGAGAGTCGGAGTCGAACAACATCCTCCAGCAGCTCCTCTGGTGGCAAAAGG